CAGATTTATTACAGAGAATAAAACAAACCAAAAGAAAACATTAAATATAATTTTAAAACACTCTTAACTACAAAGCAAAGTCTATAGGTGGCACCTTTCTGGGGGGGGCCTCACCCATACCCAGGCAGTCTAGGACTTGGGACTCCCCAGTAGGTAGTTCTGGGGGCCTGCACCCCCATACCTGCCCTTCAGCAGTGTGCTGCAGAGGGGGGCCCACACCAAAGTCCTGAGCTTCTTGGGTTTGCTGTGCTGTGGGGAACTGCTCGAGTGTGTGGGTCCTTCTGCATTGCAAGGGACCCCTCGTTGCTCCTAGAGATGTGGTAGAGTGCCGATCTTTGCTCCAACGGAGAGGCTGTGTGTGTGTGTGTGTGTGTGTGTGTGTGTGTGTGTGTGTGTGTGTGGGGCGAGTGACTGCTGCTGCAGCCAGCATGGACGCACCCCAAAACTTCTAGGCTGGATTATATGGCCTGCTGAAGCGAAACTGCAGGACAAACTCCAAAAGGACCCAGGTTGACTCATGGCCACACCTGACCCCACCGCACGGCTTGACTCGAGCAGTGGACCATCAAAAGAAACAAAGGGGAAAAGCCAGCCCTATCCTCTAGGTCTGGGCTGCAGGTAGCTTGGGTCATACAGTTCCTCTGGGAGCAGAAAGTTGCTGCAATCTACATTACAGTCTGCAAAAGGTAGACTATCAGCCACCTGAGGAAGAGGAGAAAGTGAGAGGGAGACATGGAAGTCTACACAGTTAGAAACTTGTGCAGTTAGAAGGCTAGCTGGGACCCTACTGTCTCTATGGTGTTATGGAGTGGTCTCCAAAAGGAAGTCATCACGGTTCCATTGCTTGGGAGTTACAAAAGCAATAAATAGCTTAGTGTGTTGGCAGTCCTCAAGCATCAACTACCAGTATGATGCCTTGATAATGAATTGGTCATTCCCACCAGTAAGTTCTATGATGTCACTTTGCCATCCACTTGGAAAGCTTTTCTTGTACATTTTGTGTGTCACTTAAGCACTTTTATAAGTCTCAAATCTTGGAGCATGACTCATTTTACTTACAAACAATAGTCAGAATATCTTTTTAAAAAAACATGAGGCTTTAAAAAACACAATGTGACTTTTTATTTTATTTTTTTCCCCTCTTATTAAACAAAAGGAAAAAACAAAAAAGGTATGAGAACATTCTTTTATCTGGCTGTGTGTGTCCCTGAGATGCTTTCTTGAAATAATTAATATAAAGGGTCGCTGTCAAGAAGTACCTGCAGAGCCATAGCCCAGGAATGTGCCTAATAATTTTAATTCCTAGCTTAGAAGTATGTAGGGGACCACAGAGCTGACTGTTCAATCAGCTGGCCTATTGTAACTGAATACATCAGAATAAATACAGAAGTATTACTTGGGTTCCACTAAAATAAGTTTTAATATTTAGATGTTGATGTTTGCATTAAAAAAAAAAAAGCAGAACACTAGAAAAAAGATGGCATTTTTAGCTCTGTATATAACAATATGTTAAAGAGTTTTTAAAAGCCCAGTTTTTAAGAAAATTTGACAGTGCCCCTTTAGAAACTGCATGTAGGAAGCAGCTTATTCTAATTTCACCTCACTGTTACTCTGTGGTGATAGAATGATGTTTTTATGGCTCTAATACAACAGTGCTTTAAATTATCTGTTTTTGTGGTTGTTGATGTACTTTTTGACTTGGCAATGTGGTTACTTTTTACTAAAGAAGCAAAACTTAATTTTGGTCTTTTGTTCTGATGTCAGTTTGCTCTAACAGCACAGTCTTTCAGGAAAAGTGACCTCTAACTAAAAAAAATAGTAGTTTTGGTATCACACTTTGTGGCTGGGAATCTGAACGCCAGAAATTCTTTTAAGTAAAGGGTTGTGTTGATCCTTGTTGTCTCCTCCATAACCTTTTCCTTAGATATTTTTTTTAAATATCTAAACTAGAAGCTTTAAGTCAGTACTTCACTTTTCAGAGAATACTTTAATGCTGACTGGGGTATTTTTGTTCCTGACAAGATTTCTGGTGGCAGCTAATGAAAAGTTAGTTGGTCTTTAATTGGAAATAGGATGCTTGTGTGTTTGTTTTATTTTATTTTGGTGCCCCTGGTAGCTGGTACTGAACAGTGGTGGCAGTGTAAATAAACTGAACTGCCTGACTCATTAAGGCATGAAGAGAAGAGGAGAACATGGTATTATATTTTCTGTAGCTGAATGCATGTAGTAGGTCAGTGACCTACATACTATAGTACAAAGAATGAAATACTATTGTTTGTTAGTTAATTATATTTGGAAAACTGCATAAACTTACCTAAAGGAACAATATTTAACATTTAATAAATGGAATATTTTCCCAGAAAATGGTGTTTATTATTTTAATTAGCGTTCATAGTTATGCATTTTCCTTTTCTCCTGTGTTACTTTGTTCTTTCCAGTTTAATGAGGACTCATAGTTATATATTATCCTTTTCTTTAGCACTTTTTCTGCTATTTTTTCATACAGTTAATGAATCTTGATTTCTGTGTGTGTGTGTGAAGGTAGGTGAACTGTAGGTGGCAAAAAGCATGCACACAACAGCTAAGACTCAATTTACCTTTGCTACCAATAGAAATCTTATGTTTCATTGTGTGTTGTAGATGGTGATGGTTGTTTTTTGCAGTGAAATGTAGCATATTTAATTTTTCAAGTAAAATGAAATGTTCGTAAGTAACTTGAATGAATGAACATGGATTATAAATAATATGTCCATTAGAATAACATTTCTCCTTTTTACAATTTCTGTTTCTTTCTTTTGCATAATGAATAATTGAAAACCTTTTAAAAGGAGCAATTAGTCATTCCAAAGGTTCAAGTATTAAAGGTAATTTTATCAAATGTTGCAAATAACATCTTAGCAGCATTTTCTCATGACAGTGATAAAAACAAGCTACACATAATCTGTGTTCCATGATGCAATTATCTATGGATGCTGACAGACATGAGGGGGAGAAAAAATAACATGGTTTACCACAAGACCGGAAGAAGCAATGACTTAGTTTGATCTGGCTCCATAGCATCTGTATAGATTGGGTGCTTCAGTGGGGCTTTATGGCAATTTTATCTAAATCTGATTGAATCAGGTATTAGACAAAAGCCCTCTGAAATGCCTAATCTGTACAGACATTGGGTGAGCCGGGTCCAACTAACATGATAACTTTTCTGGGCCTGCACTGGGCATGGTGCAGGGGTGCACGGAGTTTAGATTGCTTTTTTCCATGTCTGCTAGTAGCCTCTGAAAAATGAAATGTGTTTATGGCACTTACAAATCTACTAACCAGTTAACGTGAAAGTTTATTGTAATCTAATATCTCTTTAAGTAGCAGCTGCAATGCTATTAGCATCTCAGGAATCAGCATGCATTGTTTATGTGAAGGTATACAGCTGCTGAGTGGAAGGAAGGAGGGAGAAAATTAAGATGTGCATAGTGCATGCTTTTCTTAATAAACTAATGTCATTAATGACGGGGTGAGTCATGCATTTTTCAGTTTTCTTTTTGAGAGTATTTTGGCTCTTCTTTTAAGAAAAAAGAAGGCAACATTTTTTAGCTTTGTGAAATGGATTTTTGCTTACTCTGTCATATCTGAGAAACTATCAGACAGAAAAAAGAACTTGCGTGTATACACTGGACCAGCAGAAACATGTTCCCAATTTGAGATGATATTTCTATATTTAGTGGTAGTGTAAAAATGACATTGTAGTCATAAGAATCCAGAAATTATGCTAGAGGCAAGAATTTCTTAGGGTGATATCTTTTATAGGACCAACAGTTGGGATAGATGCTGCCTACACACATTCAAATAAGCTGGAAGAATGGGGGGCCCCGTGCACACTCTACAGGCTTCCTTAGTCTGCCTGGTAACAGATCACAGCAGCTCATAAGGCAGCCCTAATTGGTTGACTTATCTCATGCTCACCCTATATTTCCATATAGTATAATCTGAGGGGTTGTGAAGGGAAAGTGTTCTGGAGCAGCAGAGTCCAGCGAGCAACACAGTCTCCTGGGTGGGGAGAAGCTGAGAAACCACAGACATTCACTCTTCCAGGAGAAACTATGAAAGACCAGAGTCAGACAAGCTTTTGAATGCAAGACATTCTTCATCAGGTCTGAGCAGAACAAGCCCAGCCCAGCATAGTAAAGAACAGTTGTGGGAGGAGGTGAGAAATTGCCAGAGCAAGCAGAAGACAATTAGCAGAAAAAAAAAAGTTGAATACTGAGGAAGCAAAACCTATCAAAAAGGAGAAGGGTCATTCTTGCCTTTCATGTGTGGAAAGAATTCAGAAGTCAGCTAAATTATAATATGCCATAAAGTCAATATCATTGTTTAGTCATTGATTCTTAGGACTTTTATAGATATACTGCGGGGGGCTTTAATTAGCCCAGCTCTGCGAGCTGCACTAATTAAAGCACCTGAAGCATCATGTGTATCACCATGCTGAAAAATGGTGGTGGGGCACTTTGAACTAAAGCTTTGGTTTAAAGCACCCCACTGCCATTTTTCAGCATGGGGGCACTGATACATGTGACGCTGGAGTCTGTTGGAGCAAGGTAATTACCATGCTCCAGCAGACTTGATTAATTGAGCCTGCTCTGACTCAATGTAATTATAGCGCGTCAGAGCAGACTCCCTGCACGTGTATAGGAGCCCTTAGTGTCCAGCCAGCTTATGAATCTTTCTTCCCAAGCTCACTTTTTAAAGGCATTAAGTAGATTTCCCTTGAGTAGAAGGATAGTGAGGTCAGAGAGGGAGTAGTTGTTCTGAAAGAAATGTGCTCCTAATGGCGTGTGTGAGTCTCTCTCTCTCTCTCTCTATCCTTTATATTCTTTCGTGAAAGTTAATTCTGGTGCATAGCTGCTGTTTAGTTACACCTATATAGTTGCCAAAAAGTTTCCAAAACATTTAAGTGTTAACAATTAGATGAAACTGTAACTTATAATTTTGCCTTTTTTGTTCTGTAGGGTATAATCATCAACATATATGTGAAGAACAAAGACAGAAGTCTCCTGAATTCTACAGCAGAACTGCATCTGAATCTAATGTGTATTTAAATAGTTTTCATTACCCTGATCACAGTTACAAGGATCATGCCTTTGATACATTAAGCTTAGATAGTTCTGACAGTATGGAGACCAGCATATCTGCATGTTCACCTGATAATATTTCCAGGTAAATAATGTTAACTCCTGATTTTAAAAAGAAACATTTGTAAACATTTAAGATAATGGATCATTTATTCATATTGAATATAGGGCCACAGAAACGTTCTGCTTACCTTTTATATTGGAAAAAAGATTTTACTAGCTGGGTGAGAAAAGAAGTACCACATTTATTCCAGTCATAAATGACACTGAATTTAAGACAACCCTCCAATAATTAGATTCTGTACCTGGAAGATTATAAAGTTGTTTATTGGGGATGCCAGGGCCAGAATCAGTGGGAGAAGTAGCTAGTGAGGGGAGGGTGGGAGGGGGAAAGGTTATGCAGTCTTCCCTGTGTTCTGTCCACCATAATCCCGCTTCCCCACTGCACGAGCCACCCCAGCTTGGAGCAGGCAGTGACTCAGCTCTGACTTCAGTCCCAAGCCCAGAGCCAAAGACTGAGCTGAACCACCACCTACTCTAGGCCCAATAGTCAAATCCAAGATTTTGAATGGGGAAAAAACTTTGTCTTGGATGAGTAAATAGGGTTTACTGAAACCGGTTTCAGCCATTTTGAAAGTGGTTTATGTGCACTGAACTTCTGTTGTGTTAGATTTGAACCGGTTTTTGATCACTTATATCTGTTTATGTGTAATTTCTGTCCCTAGCCAAAATGGCTGAAACTGGTTTAAGATCAGCCTGGACAGATGTAGTATCAGACTTAACTGGTTTAGGTTAAATTGGCTTATTGGACTTCTGTCCCAGATCCCCTCCAGATTCAAGTTAATTCACAGTACCCCAGCATCCCAGGATGCTTTGCATCTCCCCTGCGACACCCCCCCCCCCAACTCCTTGCCAGGTAGGCAGGCTAGCTTTTGCCCAAGCCATCTGCTTCAGGCTAGCAGGGCTGTGTGCTTTAGCACCCCCGTACTTCTGGCCTGGGCCACTGCAGGCATATGGCTGCATTTCTGGAATCAAAAGTGAATGTCTGTTCACTAGCTTCTTGGTTCAATCTATGCAGCTTAGACTGACCTGCGAAGATTGAATATATTCAGCTGTAGGCTTTTTGACCGTCTGTACTTAGCCCAGCTGTTCTCAGAACTACTTGTAGACAACCCTTTCCCCTGTTACTGTACTGTTCCAGTGATAGGATTTTGGACACAGATGAAAGAGCTATTTGGGTAGTGTCAGAAAGTAAGCGGATACCGTCAATGAAATGCAACATCATCACAATATTAGGACCTCTATTCCAAGGACAGCTTTTTGGCTGTCCTGTTATGTTTCTGTAGCATCTGTTTCCTGTGAGAGCAATTTGAGGATCAACCCTTTACTTTCCTCTCTTATTGTTGATGTGCTCTTCTTTTATAGGTGTATATGTACATAGCTTCAGATGCTATAGGCTTCTTAATAAATATGCAGTGATTCTGATTCTGGGCTGAGTGGCACCTCATCAAGAATAATTATACAGTGATTTTTTTTTCATTACACTTGCTAATGGTATGCCAGTTTGGCTGATACTGACTTGCTGCACTCTGATTCCCTTTGAGAAGGTTGCCACATGCTTAGCCTGCCAAGAGGCCAGCATGTAAATGTAAGTTTTGGTCTGAGAGGTTGAATGTACCAAAGGGAATTAAGTACCCAAGTTTCATCTGATTTCTTTAGCATCTGAACACTGAATTCCTTCAAGCTCTTTTTGGAGATCACAATCTGAATATTTTTAAACTTCTACTTGGTGCTGTTATGAAGAAAACTCACTAGATAAAGCAGGAGGCCTACTGCTGACAGAATCCCAGTCCCACAAAGAGTAAGAACATATTAAGTGCCATACTGGGCCATAGCAATGGTCCATCTAGCCCAGTACCTATGCCTCCAAAAGCAAACCTCAAAAGCATAATATTTCCCTGTCACTATAATCGGAAGTGAATGCTATGCAGGGAAAACATCGAACTGGGTATCTCTAGAGACTATGCCCTATTCAATACCTTCCCTGGCATCTACAGTTTTTTGGTTTAGAGATGCCAGAGAAAACATCTCCAAGAATCAGAGGCATATGCTGAGAGATAAATGTATAGTCTTATAACTGTTCTCTACCCTAGATATATATTTGGATTTCTTACTTGTTCCTGTCTCCCCTGTTTCACTTTACTCTGACTGTAAACATGATAATTAATACCAAGTTTGATACAGATTCTCCCTATTGCCTGAAGAAGGGTATTTGTGCCCAAAAGCCTGCAAAGAACAATTTTTCCAACTATTTTGTTGGTGTAATAAGATATTGCATCTACCAAAAAACCTTGCCTGCCTGTATTCTTAGACCAACATGGCCACAACCAACAAGCCTAAAGTTTGACAGTACAAATGAATCATTTCATTGCACTTTAGTCTATGTATAATTAAACTGCTTCCTAAAATTATTCATGTCAGGCCATCTGCCAGTCAAAAGTGGAAAAATCCCCCAAAAGTTGTTTGAAGTTGTGTGTCACAGCGCAAGGGTCCAGGAGTTTTGAATCCAGGTCACCAAGGACCATTAATCATTTGGATACATTACTCAGTACAATATGAAAGAAAGAGTAGCTCCTTTTCTGTTCTGTAGGGATGGAAAACTACAGGGAGTGGAGAAGATGCATTTTTAGACTCTTGGGTCTACATCTGGGGCATCTCTAGATGTGAGAGTATGTTTATTAATGTAGTATACAATACTTTGTGCATTACTATAAATGGTGTGAGCTGTGCTATATTAGATCATAACACTGTCAACTCTTCCTAAATTATCCAGTTACATCTGTACCCTGTAATTTCAAACAAAAAGGACTTGCTTAAAGTTTTCATTTTTCACTTATTGCAGTGCCAGCACTTCAAATGTTGCAAGAATAGAAGAGATGGAGAGACTTTTGAAACAAGCTCATGCTGAAAAAAACAGACTGCTGGAATCCAGGGTAATTTAAGAATGTATAGAACAGGAAAATTAGCAGATGCTCTTGTTCTTATCATACACATTTCATTTTGTCATTATATTTTAAGTGCTTTTGTTCAACAGAGCTGTACAGAATTCCTCCTCTGCTTCTCCCATAATTATCCCACTTCCACCCCACCACTCTAAAAACCTGTGCCAGCTGCCATCTTTGTAGATGAGGACTGGAGGGAACTTAATAATGTGCCTTCCTCTGCTAGAAGAGATGCTGATGAGAAGCACTTGCTTGTCCCATCCCTCTAAGATCCTAGCTAGAGTCCAGAAACAAGATACCAGCCCCAGTGATTGAACCAGTGTGCCTCAAATGGCAGGACACTTTTGGCAGGTTAATCTGAGCACTGAAATCAATTAGACCTTGTCAACCAGTCAACTGTTTATAATACCAGTATGTAGGATGAGGAGTGGAGTCTAGTATGAAGAAATTATGTTGTTCATATGTAGTTTAAATATAACTCAGTTCTTTTAATAGCAAGTTACTTTCTTCTATCACACTGTTTAATATGGCTTTGCCTATACTGTTATTAGAATCAGGTAGCTACTAATAAATGTCACCAGAGTCTAAGCACAATCATCATTAACATGGACTTCGATATTTATCTATTTGAGAACTGTGTTGTATTGAATTTATGCAGTCAATTTTACTCCTCAGGTTTCCAGTTGTTCCCCTACCCCCCTTAAAATGTCACTGTTGTCTTAGATCTATTCTACATAGATCACCTATGTTAATTTATTATCTGCAGGATTCTAAGTCTTATGCCCTAAGTTTTGTTTTGGGTCGTCTTTGTCCAGGAAATATATAGGTATATTATACCCAGTGTCTGCCCCTCCCCTTCCGACATGTACCTTTCCCTGCCTGCCCCCAGCCACTCAGCTGCCACCCCCTACCACCTACTTCCCCTACTACCACATGCTATGCTCCCAGGTGGCACTTCATTAGGTCCCACATTGATCCCTAGCTTAGCAGGGAGCCAAGGAGTGATGTGGGAATTAGCACAGAGCAAAGGACAGCAAGACCCTCACTGTTTTCTGGCTACATCCTGTGTCCTGTTGCTCTCCAGCCCCCTGCTGAACCCGGGAGCAGCAGAGGAATTGGTGCAGAACCAGAGAGTGGCAAGGGAATTCTATTCTCAGATCTCAGGCTAGATGCAGCTAGGGAATGCCGCTCACAGATCTTGGGCTGCTCTCTGGCTCTGGGCTGATTCCCTTACTGCTTCCTGGCCCAGCCCTGAATTGGAGGAATCAGCCAAGAGGCAGAGAGCAACACAGGACTCAGCTCCATTATAGGATGAAGTTTAATTTTTCCCATGGAAAAATGGGGAAAAAAACTTGTCTTAGAATTGAGTAAATATGAGTAGGTGGTTTGTGTATGTTTATTTGTATATACGTTTTTTTTCTTCTTGAGAGTCACAAAGGAGTTTATTGGAGTTCTTAGTGGGAATGTCTACACGTGCGCATTTACCGCACAGTAACTGAAATTACTGCTCAGTAGGAGCATGTTTCTACACGTGCACACCCATACTGCACAGTAAATATGGCAATTTATGCCCAATTAATTATTGTGCAGTAACGCTGTGTGTGGATTGAATTGGGACTGACTTTAGTCCCAAGTCAGTCCACACACAGCGTTAATGCGCTTTAACTCTTGCACATGTAGACATCAGCCTATTCCCACTTACTGCGCAGTAACGATAGCAAAAATGCGTGTGTACACACACCCCGTGGGATCAAATTGTTTTTAATGTTTAGCAGGTATAATTTTACCTGGCCTGTAACTGACATTTGCTTGTGCTATGATATTTAGGAAAGGGAAATGGAAGCTAAAAAAAGAGCACTGGAAGAAGAAAAACGTCGCAGAGAACAACTAGAGAAAAGATTAGAAGAAGAAACTAGTCAGAGACAAAAATTAATTGAAAAAGAAGTCAAAATACGTGAGAAACAAAGAGCACAGGTATGCTGTTTATCGTGTATGGCTGTATAACATGGTTCTGTCTATATAGATAGCAAACTTACATGGCAAACTTCTACAATAATGAAAAGGAGGAAAGGGGCTTCTGAATGTAGTTGGCTGGCTGAATTATTGTTAAATTGATTAATATTACGCTTTTGAGGTTTGTTTATAATGTTGATTATAAACAGGTTATCTAGAATCTTGCATTGTCTTTTTAGCTGTTTAAATCTGAATAAACATTAGTATTTATTTCTAGCTTCCATCAGCATTGTAAATACACTGTATTAATCCTAATGGGTTTGTTGTTGAACCTGTGTATTTGACTTATGAATTTGAATTGAATTTATGAAAAGTAAGCAAACTCTCAACTATGAAAGTCTGCATCATCTCTGCTGCTTTTGCTTTGTTCACATCCAAGTCCCAATCCCAGCAAGACACAGCATACATTTTTTGACCGTCCTTATTAGCTATGACAAGAGACTGAGTTCTGTGTCTAATAAGTGTATGGGAGGCTCCATTTCCCACACTCCTGCCAGGCCAGCAGTAATGGCTTACCTCTGTGTCTAGTTCTGTCCCATAAGGGATATGCCTGACTGTTCATTGTATTTCAAACAGGTGGACTAGACACTAATTATAATTAATTCTTTACAATTCTGTGTTCAGATATGCTGTAAAAGAACTTGTCATGTAGTGCAGTTCATTTCCATCCTTGCCACTTCTACCTTTTAAAGTAATTATACTTTGCATTTGTACAGTATTTCCCATAACTGTGTTCCAAGTACTTGAAAAACAATAATGGGAGATAATTGAACTAACTCACTTATAGACAGGGAGAGAATGTGGCACAAGTTAACCAACTTATGTCAATTCACCCAGATAAATTTAGTTGTTCCCCTCATCCTCGCCCCCCCTCCCCTCCCCAACCTGCTACCAGTATCATATTTACTTGAATCCAAAGTGAGGTTTATTTTTTCCCTTTCAACATGGGAAAGAGATGCCCTCACCTTGGATTCAGGGGAGAAGAGGAAGGAGGCAGATGGCTGTTGCAGCTCCAACTTCAGCCCCAAAGCTGGGTTGGGGCTGGATTTGGAACCACAGTAGTCTCTGCCTCCCACCCCAGCCTACACCCACCCTCCCCCACCAACCTCTGCCTCCCCCCTGCCACTTATTGTCTGTCACAGCTCCAGCCTATTCTGGCCTGGGGCATGGAGCACATGGAAGCTCCAGCCCTGGCCCAGCCATGCAGCAGCAGCAATCATGGCCCCAGCTCCAGCATCCTGGGGTTGGAATTGCTGCTGTGTGGCTGAGTCAGAGCCAGTGCTTCTACGTATTCTGTGCCCCAGGCCCGAATAGGGCCACCATCAAAACTGACAGTATGCAACAGTGGGGCAGGTTGCAGGGAGCTCAGGCACCAGGAGGCATAGGTACAGAGGGGACAGGCAAGGAGTGGGGAGGGGGAGACAGTGGATGCAGGCACCATGGGAGGCAGGCAACACAGGGGACAAGTGGTGGAGCGGCAGGGGGCAAAGAGGTAGAGGTCAGGCCACTTGCCCCATCTGCCCCCCTACCACCTGGCCCTCCCTACCACTGCTTTCTCCACTACAGCAGTGATGGGGGGGCAACTTATGATGACCCTCCCTCCAATAATTAGATTCTACATATGGAAAATTATAACACATTTTACATGCATAGAATCTAATTATTGGAGCTTGTCTTAAGTTCAGATCATCTTGGATTCAGGTGAATGTGGTATTTACACCTATAGATCTGTGCTTTAATCCCCAAACTTCCTTGTTTTGCTGTGGTCTTCATCTTAGCAATTTACTTACCTGATGATTCCAAGCAACCAATATTCTTTCCTGATGAATTTATTCCTATTTAAGCATTCAAGACGTCATACAGTTACTCATCGCAAACTTCTTAAGCATCTGTTCTTTTAAGAGTATATAAAGCTGCAACATGGGAGTTAGTTTTCACTACCTTCATCCTTTGATATTTTGTGTTGCTTTCATGTTTACCCGTTTACAGCACGTAAAAAGAAAAAAGAAAAAAGATACAAGATAGAGATTTATTCTTTTCTGCTCTCTGGCAGGCCCGTCCCTTAACTCGCTATTTGCCAATTAGAAAAGAAGACTTTGATCTACGAAGTCACATTGAAACAGCTGGACACAACATTGAAACCTGTTACCACATCTCATTGACTGAGAAGACATGCCGAGGCTTTTTGATTAAGATGGGAGGAAAAATTAAAACATGGAAAAAACGATGGTTTGTTTTTGACAGAAACAAGAGAACATTTTCATATTATTCAGGTAGGTTTGGGGCTTATATACCTAGGACTGATTGTTAGAGAATCATTCTTCTGTTGTCATGCAGGGTGGTCACATCATTTTCCTAATTTTATTGATTTGTATTTGTTCATGTTGTGGATACTTGGAAAGTCTGTGGTCAGAACAGGATCCCATTAAATTAATAAGCTTGGTGTTATGTAACCACAGTTGACACATTCCTTTCCAAGCAAAGGAATATCTTGGATAAAATAGGACATCTCCACTTCTTCATGGGACACTTTATTAAAAGCATGTATTGTTGTATGGATGGGGCATAAAGTGTGAATTAAAAACAAACGGGAATCTTATCAGGGGATAAGGCACAACGCTGCACTTATCGAAAACATAAGACAAGCGAAATTAAGAACAACAACAAAAAGGTGGTGTTTCTTCTTTCATACACTCACACATACATACTCATACACTCGCATACATACCCATTTATTCACATACATACAAAAAGAGACAGACAGACAGTCCTGCAAATATTAAGATATTACCAGTCCTTAAAATGCTCGGTTTAGCTTGGTGGCCAGCCAAGTTAACCACGAGAATGAAGCCAGGTCTTCTTGGACATGTACCAATGCTGCTGCTGCTGCTTCTGTGCAGGACAGACCCAAAGCATCTTTGTTTTTGTCCATCTTTATAGTGATTGTTCCCCATATAAGTCTATGGGTCTTGCTGTGTCATCCCCTCAGTGACAAAATGATCCTCCTCTTCTGTTGTGATGTTATGATTGACAGACTCTTCAGGCTTTAGTCTGCAGTTTCTTCCATCTGTTGTCAGCAATTTCTTCAGCCATTGGAACAAAACATGATCTTGTATTTTGTAATTTTTAACTGATAATCTTGGACATTGTTGTAACCTTTGACTGTTAAATCACAGAAGACTATTTCTATCCTTCTAGTCTGAGGTGCAAGACAGACTGTCTCAACATACGCATTTCCACATGTACTGTTTATTCTTTCATTACCTCTTTTCAAACGTCCCAGACATACCACAGGCCTTGCATATACGCTATACTATGTCTCTCATACTATATGTAACCTACAAAATCATAAAACAAAATGACTGTTACACTTATGCTAAGCAATGTAAAAATCAAAACAGAGTCTCAGCTAGGGCTAAATTACAGTTATTTGAGCAAACTAAAACGGATCTTGGTTACACAAAAATTAACAAAGGAGTGAAGGATGTTATAAATGCAATATCAAGAGTATATAAAGACAAAGTAACTTTAGCTCAATAGTATTTAACATTGGTGCTGGAAATTTTTTTTTTCCAAATTGTGCAGTCTATCTTTTGGAAATAATTGGTGCCTGTATTCATTAAATATGCAGAAAAATTCCATAAGATTTACAGCAATAGTTGATATCAATTATGAAAAATGCGAACATTAATTTTACTTTTAACAATATCTGGTTTATTCATTAGCAAAGCACTGGATATAGTGTAGAACTCCCATCTGGTATTGATTTTTAAAAAGTAGTTAGTTTATAGTTACCAGCTTCAGTTTTGAGTGCAGTACAGCTGCTGTAATATAATTTCAGTTACCAAAAAAAAACTTTTCATTGTCTTGAGGATTCGAGCCATCAAACATTTCATTCAAATTTTATACCAGCTAAACAGAAATGCAGCTGTGGGTATGAGTTAGAAGCTGTGACTCAAAAAACATATTTCGCATTTCGAAAATATATATATTTATGCTATACATGTATAGTCTATGGCTCTCACGTAATCACATCTTTAGGACTCCAAGTATACTGAAAAAATAATAGACACCAAAACCTTCAACTTAGCGCAGCAAGTAAAATGTGTTTATTTCCTGACTTGAAAATGATACAGAACTTTCCTGGAACAGAGTTTATGCATGTATAGTTTGAGCCGTGGATATTTCATTTTCAGGGTGACGTTTGTCCCAAAACTATGAGAACAGTTTCTGTACTCCAAGGCAATGTGCGTTTATAAAGCCAGACTTAAAGCTTCCCATTTTAGGGCAAAATTGCAGGCACATGTAATATACCTTACACGTCCTGTGTGGTTGTGTCTTCATATACGACAGGAATAAGTCACAAAAGAGTGGCCATTAGGGCTGCACCCACATGAGCACAGACATTTGGTTCCCTGGGACAACTAGCAGAGGGACATGCCTGTGCCACACGCCCTCTCGAGTGTGGCAGGTTACCCTGGCTGGGGTAGGGGAGGCTGGGACCAGCGTTGTGTGGCTCCACCAGCCTTAATGGGGCCCTCCTAGGGCTGCAGCAATCTTGCCACTCGGAGCCTGGCTGGCAGACAGTGTGTGTCTCTGGCTGGCCAGGCTCTGGTGTTGAGTGGCGTGCATTGCCCCCATGTGTGCCACTTTGGGTTTTTGGTATTTTTTGCACGGGGCTTTTGACCCCTGGATATCCAGTGGGGTCAGTAGCGAGGCGAATAGCTGAATATGTGGTATATGGCATTGCAGGTGTGTGTGTGTGTGTGGTGCCACATACCACAGGGCTGTGTTCGTCTGGACACTACCTTGGAGAAAATCCAGACTGTTTTCTTTTTAAATTTTTTTTCCATATTTAATTCTGCTTATTAAAATGACGCAAAACACTAAACCTCTCTTTGATCTCTTCCTGCCACCATTACTACGGTAGTGTTTCAGAATCACCTGTGTGTGTTTTATATCATTGTTGACTAAAAAGACCGATTTTTTTTTTATTTTTTTTTGTTTTAAACTTTAGAGGTTTCACAAACAGGAAGGATATTTTCAAATTATAAAAAGTATTTGGCATTTTCTTTAAAAACAGAATTGCTAAGTGTCAGTTTTCTAAGATTTTTCTCTCTACTGCAGCAATTTTGGCTGTTACCCTGCTAATCTATGATAAATAGTCTATTCAAATAGGGAGGATGGGGTGGGGGTGCTTGCCCAGTCAATGTGACTTTCTGAGTGACCATACACAGCCTTCTAACCCTTCAGTCATTCTGGTTTATTATTCATGTCAGTTTTCAAAACTCTCTGTCATTGCAGACAAACATGAAACTAAATTAAAAGGAGTAATATATTTCCAAGCCATTGAAGAAGTCTATTATGATCACTTAAAGAATGCTTATAAGGTAAACTTTATTATTGTTGGTTTTTTTGTTTTGTTTTTTTTGTTTGTTTTTTATCATTCAGTAACATCTAAAATGTTAGTAGCTATATAGCTATAAGAATACACATGCCCTGCAAGCTGGCAGTTTTAATAACAACAACACACACACACGGTGCAGATGGGTATAGATGTGTACAGACTGTGTGGCCAAAGACTGGCACACTTTATCTTGACAGTTCTGTGTAAAATGACACAGGAAATAAAAGAGAGACAGTTGATCTGACCAGGGATGCGCTGATATTTGGGCACAGGGCTGGGAAGCAGCTGCCCTGGAGAAGGGACAGTTTTCCCACCCCTTGCTGTCTGGGCTGACCAGGAGCAATTTGCTTCTGGTCAGCAGTCTACATATGTGCTACTGTACAGTAGTTACTGCATGATTAATCTACTACCTGTGGGCGTTTATGTGTGTGTTCCGGGAGGCATGGAGGTGCACTTTAATTACAGCAGCTCTCAGAGCCTCTCTAACTGAAGTGCCCAGAGCGTCACACACATCAGCGTCCCTGTGCTGAAAAATGGCAGCAGGGGGGCTTTAACTAAAGCTTGTCACTGGAACCTCAGTGCACGTGTATAGGTGCCGTGTATTTACAAGTAGTAGGCAACCACACAGTAGACTACTCTACTGCGCAGTAAATGTGAATGTGTAGACAGTGGCGCTTTACTACACAGTAAAGCATAACATGTAGATATGACCACAGAGTATCTACACAGACACTCCCAACACCTCTCCATTTCCCCTACACATAGCAGGAGCTAAGCAAATCCTGAGTAAGGCAGGACCTAACGCATCTTTTTTTCTAGTATCTGTAACTTGATTTCATTTAATCATTTGAGCTTTTATCTTTCTCTTTCTTTTTTTTTTGTTTTTTTGTTTTTAGAGTCCTAATCCACTACTCACTTTCAGTGTTAAGACACATGACCGGATATATTACATGGTTGCCCCAACACCAGAAGCCATGAGGATATGGATGGATGTAATAGTTACAGGCGCAGAAGGCTACACACATTTCATGTTATAAAATCAAGTAACAGCTCATTCATGGGACATACTGCAATCATCTTATGCATTTAGCCATATGCAGTCAAGTTTTGGTATTTTTCACAAGTATCCTCCCTATGATGTGCATGCAAGCTCTGAAAATGAAAGGGTTTATGAACGCATTGAAAAGGGGGACTGGTTGCTTACTTTAGTTGCTAATTATAGTAACAAAAGAACTGAAGTTGTAGAAGGTTCATTGTGCACCCACATGGATAACCAAGTTGACTTAAACATAGTGTTTTGATTCAATGGTTATTTCTTACAAATTCTCCTACACAGAAAGTGTGCTTATAAACTCATACTAAACAGTTTACAAAATGGTTTGTGTGTGCTCATTGATATGCAAATGTTTTAGTAATGGAACAGAAAGGTATAATAGCATATATTTTAATATGCAGTAATTGACATTTATATGTGATTAGCTGACTTTTTAAATTTCTTTCACTTAAGTATTTTTTTAATAAAAAAGTAGCCCGACAGTACATGCAGTTCTTACCTTAGTAGTTAAGTGTATTACTACCAAACCAAAGATATTTACATGATTCCTCTTCAGGAATGATTTCAAATTATTAGCTGCGCTTTAGCTTTGTGTAGTGGAACAATGCCATTTTCCCTTAAATTTTAATATAATTCTATTGTTACAGTATTCTTAAATTACCAGTGGCACAAACTGTATGTATAAAGCCACTTCAGCTCAGGAACAAAAAGCAGCAGTGTAACTTTTATAGAACAAGGTAAAATTGAGCTGAAACAAGAATATCAGCTAAACTAGAGGCTTTCTGAGCTCCACATGCTGAATACACTATGTTGATTCTTTGTCTGGATCTTTAAGCAATTTCGGTCTCATACAACTAAGTCTTGCTATCAATATGATTCTAATCCAATGGTTCTCAACCTCCGTTAGACTCAAGGCACCACTCAGAAAATGCCAGCTCTTACCTTTCACTAATTTTTTGACTATGGAAAAATGACAAGCTCAAAGAACTTGGATCACAACAGGTCATCATGTTTTTGGCACTATGGATTCCTGTGTGAAAACTCTGAGTTTATCTTGTAAAACATATGTAGGTGTTTGCACACCCAACAGTACTAATACTGTGCAGCACCCCTAAAAGCAGCTTAGAGCATCCCATGGTGCTACAACACCCTGCTTGAAAACACTAATCTTAAATGGCTTTTCTGGATGCCTATACACGTGCTTCGGAGTGGGAAGTAGGGTTTTAATTAAAGTGGTTTCCGGAGAGCCGCTCTAACTAAAACACCTCACTGTCACGTGTATTAACCCCCTGTACTTTTAAAAATGGTTGTGGAACACTTTATCTCAACCTCATTTGACAAGGTTTAAATAAAGCACCCCTACAGCCATTGTAAAGCACAAAGGAGCTTATACATTTGACAGTGAGGCTACGCTGGAGCATTCTAATTAGAATGTGGAACAGACTCGATTAATCAAGTCTGCTCTGATGCATTCTAATTAGAATGCAAACCAGTATGTGTATAGGCAGCAGCTTCTGTGCCTAAATCTAAGCCAGTTGAACATGATGTGGTGACCTCGGTGATACCAGTGGCTGATTCTACTGAAGTCACTGCCTGAACTCTTATTGACTTAAGTGAGGCAAGTATTTTAAGGAGCAAATTTTTCAAGGTAGGCGTTGGCTTAGAATTTGGTTATGTTATACAGTAAGGTAGAGCTGAAAGGGGTCAAACCCTAAGTATGTGCTAAGCAGTAATATAAACACAAAACTTAACTACGAAAAGTGACAACCCCCCCACTTTTTTTTAAACAAAAGAGGATAAAAGGATCTGTGTGTTAAACTGGATACGTTCCTTGCAAATATTCTTCTATTTTAAATCTTTTTCTCACCCTTGATAATTGTTGTGTAACAATAAAATATTAATGAATGGAACCTAAACTTAAAGGAAATCTTTTATATAATTTTATGAAGTTTTTAGTATTCTGGATTTGTGTGCCATAATGAGCATGTAATTGAAGCAGACAGAATAATGCCCTACCTCCCTCCAAAAAAGATAATGGCATTTGATTAAGCAAATTGAAAGCTGAAAGCAGAAATAAATATGCTTACTCAATATATTGAACGATTTTAAACTTCAGTATCTGGCATATACAGGTATGAAATAGTTTTTTGTGGTATACACAGGTCACACAGTTCTAGAAGTATATTATTAGATGTGACATGCACCAGATTTGACTTGATGCCTCCTGAAAGATTGAATTTATCACAAAGGATAATGTTTCTCTTCTGTGCAGATCACAACTACAAGAATCTTGTAATCTAATGAGATTAAAACATAAAAACAAAATCAGAAATGAATTACTTTGGTTTCTGTAATTATATATTTTTTTTCTGATGTACCTTGATTTTACTTCTAAGTATGGTTACACAAGTTTTCTAACTGAGATTTTTGTATCCTGCATGATGCAATGAAGATGGTAAAATAAATGTTTTTAAAAAGATGTTTCTTTTTGGAATTTTTAATAGTAGTGGTTGTTCTTTTCATTATGGAATATTTTTGCCTTTCTTTTCAGTATAATTATTTGTATTGCACACATTGTTAATACTGAGGATAAATTTAAAAAAGGAAAGCTATTTTACAAATCTTCCATAAAATAATTATGGGGAAAATAAGTATAGATTTAGTAGTCCCACCCTTTTCATATACCCTTTTCATATACCTTCATTAATCTGGCTTCTTTATATAATATAATACATTTTACGCTGAATAAATTTGTGAATTTCCAGTCCTGGAAACTAAGGATTAAAATGGGATTCTATGAATTCCCAAGGCAGCCTGCAGACTAAAAGGGGGGCATATAAAAAGTGGAAACGGGGAGAGATTACCAAAGAGGAGTATACCTCCTCTGCTTGTACTTGTAGGGAGGCAGTTAGACAGGCCAAAGCTACCATGGAGCTGAGGATGGCATCCCAAGTAAAGGATAACAAAAAATTGTTTTTTAGATATATATAGGGAGTAAAAGGAAGGCCCAGGGTGGAATAGGACCCCTACTAAATGGGCAGAAGCAATTGGTGACGGACAGGGGGGACAAGGCTGAACTCCTCAACGAGTTCTTTGCCTCAGTGTTCCTAAGTGAGGGGCAAGACAAGGCTCTCACTGGGATTGTAGAGAGGCAGCAGCAAGGCACCAGACTGCCACGCGTAGACCCTGAGATGGCGCAGAGTCACTTGGAGGAACTGGATGCCTTTAAGTCGGCAGGCCCGGATGAGCTCCATCCGAGGGTACTGAAGGCACTGGCTGATGTCAT